GGCTGACTTCAATACCAGGGAAGTTGCTGAAGCAAATTTTAAAAATGTCAACTTGTAAACATCTGGAGGATGAAAAGCTGATCTGTAGCAGCCAGCATGGATTTAAGAACAAATCATGCCAAACCAACTTGCTCTTCTTTGACACAATAACTAGTTGGGGAGATGAAGGGAATGTAATGGACATATTATATCTGGAATTTAATACGGCTTTTAGTTAAAGTTCTAGACCACATTAAGTAAACTGGAGAAATGTGAGCTATGTAGAATTAGGGTATAGTAGAGACAGCTCAATAACTGCAAGCAAAGGGATAAATGGATCAACGTCAGAATTGCAGGAAATTTCAAATGGGGCTCCACAGGGGTCGGCCCTGGGTCCAGTGCTGTTTAACACACTTACTAGTATGCTTTGGCAGGCAAGGTTCTTTGGGTAGATATGGTTTCTTTTATTAGACCAACTAAATAGGTGGGGGAAAAAGTTCTTTGCAAGCTTTCGGGCACAAACACTTCTTTAGGCATTGGGAGACTGCTGTTGTTCTGAGTTCTCCACGGTAGAAAGGAGCTAAAGTAAACAAGAAGTCTGTGAAGATGCAAGTGAGTGGAAGTCTGGAAGACAAAGGATAGAGATAGAAGGGCAGGGGGGAGAAAGGGAGGGAAAAGTGTGAAGAAATGCAAGTGTTCAGCTGAAGGCAGGATACCTGGTGAGTCAGATGTCAGGCAGGTTGTAATGTGTCATAAATACAATGTCTATATTAAATCCATGATTGTTTATATCCAGTAGATTTATGAGGTGAAGTTCATAGGCTTGTCTATGAAAGGTGTTTTGTAAATTCCCTTTGAGGATTAAAACTGAGAGACTGGAGAAAGAGTGATTGTCTTGTGAGAAGCGTGCCCCCACAGGTAATTGAATATTTTTGTCTTTGATGGATTTTCTGTGTGTTTTCATTCTGGTATGCAGTTGTTGTTTGTTTTCTCCTACATATTTTCCATTACGGCATTTGGTGCACTGGATGAGATATATTACATTTCTGGAGATGCAGGTGTAAGATCCAGGAATGGTGATGCTTCTGTTGTGGTATACAGTTATTGTGGGACTAATGGAGATGTATTGGCAGGTTTTACATTTCTTGTCCTGGCATAGTCTGGATCCATTTGGTATGATTGTCAGTGCTTTGGAGTATGCCTGTAGACATGTAGGGACACTGCTGACACACTCTAATTACAGCCAGACTCAATTAATTGAGTCTGCTGGAACATGCTAATTAGCCAACTCCAGTAGCCTCTACATCTTGTGTATCCATCATCTCCATGCTTCAAAATGGCAGAGGGGGGCTTTAACTAAAGTTTGTCAAACAAGCTTAGTTAAAAGTCCCCCCGCCGCATTTTGAAACACAGAGCGCTGAATACACAAGACACTGGGCGCTTTAATTAGAGCAACTCTTGGAGCTGTGCTAATTAAAGTGCCTCTCCCCTCCAACATGTGTAAAAAGACATCCTTGGGTGCCAGAATAGTTTGCTGATCAGGTTTGCAGTTGACATAAAGCTGGTAAGGACTGCAAACACTTTAGAGGATAAAAAATATTTCTTAAAATCCTAGGGTTGGAAGGACCTCAGGGTCATCATCATCAGGTAGATTAAAGAGCTGGGCTAGAGACAGAACTGTGCCACTCTACCTGACACTGCTTAGGCCTCATCTAGAATACTGCATGCAGTTCTGGACTCTGGTTTAAGAAGGATGTGAAGAAATTAAAGAGGATCCAGAGGCAGGCAATAAAAATGATTCATAGATTCATAGATTGTAGAGTCAGAAGGGACCACAATGGAGCATCGTGTCTGATCCCCTGCCCCTGGCAGGAAATAGGACCGAGGTCAGATGACTATCTAGCCTCCTCTTGAAGACCTCCAAGATAGGTGATAGCACCACCTCTCTTAGAAGCCCATTCCAGATCCTGGCCACCCTTACTGTGAAAAATTTCTTCCTAATATCTAACCTAAATCCACTCTCAACTAGTTTACACCAGTTATTCCTAGTCACTCCCTGGGGCGCCTTAGTAAACAGCGCTTCCCCTATTCCCCATTGACCTCCCCTAATAAATTTATAGGCAGCTGATAAATGGGTTAGACAGCAAGCTGTGTGAGGAAACCCTGAGAGAACCAGGCATATACAGCTTGCAGACAAGGTGATTAGAGGAAACACAGTAGGAGTTTTCAACTATCTGAAAGGCTGCCATCGAGGAGAGAGGGAAAACAACTGTTCCCCCATACTGCAGAGGGCAAGAAGTAGAACAATGGTTTTAAACTGCAACAAAGTAGATTTAGATTAGATCTCAGGAAAAATTTCCCTTGTTAGAATGGTAAGGTAGAGGAAAAGAAGGCTCAGGAAAGTAGCAAGATCCTCTTCACTGGAAGTGTCCAAGAAATGAGATAAGTATTGGCTAAGAGTGAATTGGATGCAGCATTTCTGCATTCATGGGGGTTGGCCCAGATGATCTTTGATCTCTTCCAACCCTATGATAAAACATTCTCATTCCTTATTTAGTGCTTTTCAGTCACTATACCTTAAAGCACGTTACAAAAGTCAGTATCATTATCCCTGGTTTTCAAATGAGAAAACTAAGACATAAAGGGCTAGCAACTAGTCCTTCAACAGGCCAGAGGCAGAACCAGAAACAGGACCCAGGTACACCCAAGTTCCAGTCCAGTGCTTCTCAACCTTTTTTAACTCCATTTCCTTCCCCCTCAGGAATACCCTCTCTTTGCTTTTGCTTATTTCTTGACTACAGAAAAATAATAGAACAATTTTGTTGCTAATAACTCAGAAAAAACACAACAGAATAGAACGTTTTTGACACTATAGATTCCTATTTGAAATCTCTGGGTTTATCTTGTAAATAATCTGTAGGTGTTTGCACAATGAACAACATTAATACTGTGCAGTATCCTATGGTACCCTGCTTGAGAACCATCACTCTAGTCCAGGGATTTTCAACCTTATTTAATAAGCGTACCTCCAGCAGCCGGATCCAGAGCGGAGAGGGGTGGCACATCACTGGACGTGGAGCAGCAGCACCACAGAGTGGTGAGGGCAATTGCCGCGTGCAAGCTCCCCCCCATCCTGCTCTGCATCTGGTGGGCTAGGCAGTGCCTGCATGGCCTGCAGAGGCGCTGCTGACCCCCCACCCCCTATTCCTGCTTCTGGGAGGCAGTGGTGTGGGGTGGCGGGTGGCAGTGCTCCATCCCCACCCATCCACATGTACCTCCTAGGACCTTCCCAAGTATCCCCAGGAGTACACGTACCCCTGGCTGACAACCCCTGCTCTAGTCACAAGGCCATTCGCAGTTGCATTACACTTGACATGATGGGTTGTGGAGGAGTAGGGCTAGAGTAGGAACAAATAATCTTAACTGAAAACAAGAGAAACTTTAAATCAGAATGCCCTTTCTGTAGAGCTTTCTGAAATGATTTAAAATTGGACTTAAACAGCACTCTACCCTTGGAAAATGCCACCTCTTAATTTTTACTTTTTTTCCCCGCTGTGGAAATGCAGAAGAGCAATTCTTCCATTGCAAAGAACTCAGAAAGACCACAGCAAGTTAGAATGTTTCTAACACCATGGACCCTAGCTTGAAAAGCTCTGGTTTTATCCTGCAAATCGTATTTGTATGCCTAACACTGCTACTATTCCATGGCACCCTGCAGCACCCTTGAAAGCATCTCACAGCACTCCAGGATCATATGGCAACCTAGTTGAAAATCACCCCATTAAGGCCTGCAGAGCACCAGAAGCTGTGGCACTTACAAAAGGTGAAATCTGGTCTCCACTCACCTAATTCAAAGGTCTCTTTATGGCTAGATTTATCAAGTCTCCCAAAAGAAGTGGTTGATAACACTGTTCCCCCATCAGGTGACATTGTGTTGTCAAATTAAAGTTCAGACTGGAGTATGAAAATTATGCTGCCACTTCAAAGTTCTTCTGTAGAAAAAGGAAATAAAATACCATGCATTTAACATGGTATTCTAGACATGTATCATGGAAACACACATACTTACAAATACAGACTGTACCTCTGAGAGCTACAAGGGCACAGAAAAGTATGACCCTCACAGGGAAAAACGTTAATAAGATACAATTGTCCAGAACATGAAATGGTATTAATATAGGTTCCAGTTGGCAAGTCATACTCCCTTTTTGCCATTTTTGAGTGACGTTTTTTGAGTGAAAAAAATAAAGACGCCAGATATTCGCCTTTCTTTTCACTTTCAAGCTGAGCCTTTAGTGCAGCCGTTCCTCGCACTCCGTGGGGTGTCTTGAGATCTTCCAAGAGCGCTGCGGGGCCCGCTGCTAGGCGCGCAAGCAGGAACACAAGATAAAGCGAGATTTCACCTGTTTGATCTAGGTTTCGGGCAACAGGAAAGCGGCGCTGTTATTTTTCTGTAGTCAAAACAGGAGCAGAAGAAGCTCCGGGCCCGCATTTCCTAGCGCTGCTACAAGGACGAGAAGCACCGCTGTAACTAACGCCCCCCGCCGCTAGCTGGATCTCAGCCGCAGACGCGGCCCGGCAACCCCGGGGCAGCTCGGCGACTGCCCCGCCGCG